ATTGTAATTCCATGAGCAGACGCTTTTCTGAGCCCCAGACAATTAGACGCTTCTTATTTTTCGCTCGTTCGTTTTAACGTTCTTCGTGCTATTACTCTAGCAATTATCAAACGTGACAAAATGCGCGAGAAATCAAGCGAGTTCGCCCTGAATTTTTCCCGAACCCTCGCTACACACGCTCAGCGACTGCTCTCTCAGTCAGCGGAGGAAGAAAACACGGTCAGTTTACAGTCTGGAACTAATTTGATAAACTTACTGCCGAACTACAGAAAACAGCCTACAATGAGACAATGTAGAGAGGTCGAAAAGTGGTGAGGAAGGTTCAGGAAATATAGCATCACAGCTCGCAGCGGGTCATGATTCAGGGAAAATTTTGATGACCCAAGATTTTCCCCGAAAACTCTCCATTACTTCTAGCTGAGGCAAGCTGTCTCACCTAGAATTAACATTTTCAAATAATTAAAATTGAGAAAAACTATTTTTACCAACCTGCAAGCTTCTATACTGTTCGTTGCACTTCAGTTGTTTCTTACTGTTGGTTTTGCGATAACTTACCATGATGACTAACGACATTTTTAGCAAATTTTGACTAACGTGCCTGTCTAACGGATGAACAAGGCCTCGCTCCTCACATTACTCTTGGGTTTTCACTTTGCCTTCTTATTTTTTATCGAAATGTAAAACTAAAACCAGTTAAAACTAAAACCAGTTTTCCCTCGTCGCTGAGACACCAGTCGCTCTAAAATTTGGAGCCGGAAGTTAAAAATTATATTCCAGGCACAACTTTGCAATAGGCATGTTTATCACTAAGTGAAGATTCAATGATGAAGCGTGTCACCTTTTATCTTGGAGCCGGAGGAGAATCTATGAGGTACGCGCAGATGTTCGTGGAGAGTCAGTTGGGCGCAACGCGTTCAGTGGCGTGGCGTGAATGATCGATTATCGATATTTCCCCATTTCAATCCGTGGTAAAGGATCGATTATTAAGGTGTTCGCTGCGAACACCCTGATAATCGATCCTTTGCCATAGGTTTAAATAGCAGATCAATCGATATATCGCAGAGCACGCCACGCCACTGAACGCGCCGCCCAGGGGTGAACGGGAGGGCGCTTATTGCGTTTTATAGTTGATCCCCTCGTGCCTTACCCTTGATAGCGAGCGCGATGAGGTAGGGGACAAAAATTGGTGGCCATGACGGCTACGGCTTTGCAGCCCGGTCGCCATGGTAACCCTCTTGTTCCAGTTATGATAATTCGGGTGCATCATTTTTTTAATAAGCCCCGGCACGATCTTTTTCGGGTGCTCCATTTTGTTGCACTCGCAACCCCTTCCATCACCCACGCGCTTAACGCGGCAAAAGTTGCCTCTTTTATGGTGCAATCCTCAAACAGTGGCTTTATGTAAAGTTTTATAGCCCTCCTCCACCTATTTGCTCCCCCTCTTCCGCCCGACCCCTTTTCATTCCCGCCCCGTCCCTTGAACTCTAGGTAACGGGAATAATATCCATTCTTTTCCTTTTTCAAACCTCCCCATTCAAAATATTTTAAACAAAGCGCAACTTTTAAGCACAGGTTCCTCGAAGTGATAAATAATTTTTGGTCGTGTCTGCGAGTTGAGAGTTTTCTTATTTTCTCTCGAAAATTAATATCGCTTACTTGTAATTAAAGATTTTCAAAGATGTTTTGTACCCGAGTTCTACTCATTATATATTATTTTTTTCACAACTTTTTTGTCAGTGTGCCTTTCTATGGTGTATGATTTGGCCTCTGTATTTTCCCTTCGTCGTGTCGGAAAGATTGTATTTTTAGCAGCACGTTAATTATCGTCGAGGGATTTTTTCAGCAAGCTTGTACCTCAGATTTTGACTGGAAAACTTCAACTATTAATATTGGTTTTTTTTTCGTTCATTTTTATCGCAAAATTTTTTAACCTCTCCAATCATGCGATCATCTATTTTTCTCTCCCTTATCACATAATACATCGTAAGAAACTGACAGGCGTGACAGGAATGGTAACCGGTGAAAATATTTTATTTTAAGCACCTTAATTGTCGTTAAATTAATGAAATAATAAACAGTAAGTGACTGATTTTACCTCCTCATCCATTAAAAGATAAACAGTTCCGGCCAGACATTTTCCTGATGTAAAGGTTCAAGGATGATCAGGTTTTAAACTGCCAGACTCGATATGCATGGCGAACATTGTTATCTCCAGCCTGTATTTTACATATTACATTTTGTTTTTTTTTTTTTTATTTTCCTCCACAGTGCTTGTATCGCGTGACAGCGTTTTCATATTAACAATTCAAATAAAGCATACACTTGGATCCAAGAGTCCAGGCTTTCAAAATTTGACAAGATAAAATACTCTTGATTTAATCGGCTTTTTGCTTGAAACCACAGGAAATCCGTTTAAATTAAGTCTTGGTTCTCGATTTAAGCAAAAATCCGATCCTAGAATTTTTTCTTGCCAAATTTTTTCAAGGGTCTGGACTCTAGATCCATGAGGCTTTTTACTCAAGTGTATGTTGCACCCTATGTATTTAGTTCCCTTCAGCAAAAAGGTATCCAATAGGAGGTAGTCGGTAACGAAGATGAAGAAGAGCCTGGCGGTGCATCCCTGATGCATATCGCCGGGATGATTCACAAATGCCCCCGCTGCATTCCGGCTCTATTCCACGCTGACGCGTTTCGTTTTGGCCGAAGAATAAAAAGCCGTCATGGGGTGGAAACAGAATGGGCCGTTGCGCCCCTCGCCCTCTCCGGGCGAGCGGGCCGTTTAACCGACGGAGGCCGTTGTCGAACCGTGCCGAAAACTAACGGCTTTCCCTCTCCGTGCTCGGAATACGTGATGCCCTGACGCCTCGCCTAGCCCCGGGTGGTAGCTATTGGACAGTATCGCTGTCCTACCGTGGACCGTTTTGACGGACAGCCAGCTGTCAGAAAGTATTAATTGCTGTAAACCGTGAAAAACCGATGTCTCATTCAAAATCGTCGCCGCTCCCCTCTGCCTCCGCGTTCCTCCAGGGCGAGATTGTCAGGTTTTGCAATAAAAGCTGGATTTTTCACATGGGTCTAGACAGGGAATTTGCCGTATTGAGTAACAACGCCGTATGAACCTTTAGATGTTGTCAAATTCCCTCTAATAAAAAACAATTTTTTGGGAAAGTTGTGGATGTTTTTCCTCTAATTTTTCGATTGATTTTTTTCGCGATTTGATTTAAAATACTTGAAATTTTCACAGAAAAATATGCCCGAATGCCTTCCAGAATAAAAGTTTTATCGGGGTAAATTTGGCACTATATAAATGTTCATACGGCGTTTTTCCTCAGCACGGCCGAATAGTGCTGATTTTTCAGCTCAAGCTGGCAACAATACTCGAGGGCTACCTTTCGAAGAACGAACAGCATATCCAACATAGTCCAAAGGCAAAGGGAAAATGTCGTATGATCATTCGCACGTCGCTAAATTTCTTGGGATATAATTTAATGGAATTATAATTTTTCCGATATGAGAATGCCGCTGTTACCAAATCAATCTATATTTTTCAATGATAGATACATAATTTGAGAAAGTTTGGCAACATTCGAATGCTCTTACGGCGTTTTTCCATAACAAGAGAGAACACTGACTCATTAATGAAATTTATTTCATCACATTTACCTCTTCACGTGATCCTGTTTTGCCTTCTTTTTCGTTACCGGGTTTTTTTTTCTTCTCATTCAATCCTGCCTTTCCCCTCTCCATCCCTCTCCTTGAATGAGCTCAGAATGAACCTTTGAAAATAAGCAGGAGAGGTTTTTTTATCCTTTGCATTTCGGGCTTATCCCGGTATCCCTCCTCATTTAACCAGTAGCCCCCGTTGCGCTTTTAAAATTACTGTCAGAGTTTCAGTGAGAAATTTGATTTGTTTAATGCCGCTTCTCGGTTCTCTGCGTTTTTTACTCCATTTCACGGGTTCGATAATGAACGCCGTGTCGGAATTTGGAGGACTCAAAAGGATTCGACTGTTACATGGCAGTGCTAAGCCTTCTGAATTTTAAATCAGGGTACTTCTAGCGAACCGGCGGACGCTTATAAATAATGAAAGTAGCGGAGACTTAAATATTTGAGAGTCTGCACTCAATCACTTTGAGTAAGGATTGGCAATTTGATGTAATTCGTCAATTCCTAATATTCAAAGGTAATGCTTGCGTAACTGGATAGTATTATTCTGTGGATTGCAAGTGTGTATCGGAGACTTCAGGGTTCAACGGATATCATGACTTTCATTTTATTTCGCATACCAATCTCTTAAACGAAAAATTTCTCGCACAAAAAAATGGTCAATTCTTTAAAAATTCTGAAAATCAGGAATACAAAAGTGATAAAATTTAAAAGGTTAGAAATTGTGCATGTTTGAGCTATGGGAGGAAAATCGTCGTTTCCCAGACAAAGAAACGTAACTCCATTCCAAGGTTGCAAAATTGACTCTGATAATTTCCTTTTTTAAGGGATCCTCCCTGTAAGAAGTTTTTTCTAACATTTGTCTGTTTTTTCATGGACCAGGAGAAAAATCCAAGAAATATTTAGTTGAAGTTTTCCTAGATTTTCCTAGTAAAAATGGAACGCGTTTAGCAGAAAGAAACCAAGCCTTATCAGCTATTGCCAAATTCAACTGGGCCATTAATTGTTTTACAAGAGAACATTTGTGCGGATTCCTTCGAACATTTTAAGGAATTTGCTTCGTACCCTGCAGACAATTCACTGAAATTTGAACACAAATCCGCACAACCGTTTTCATGCAAAACATTAAATTGCCCGATTTTTGGCAATAGCTAATGTGGCTTGGTTCCTTTCTGCTTAACGCGTTCCAAATGCAATTCGCGAGAGGCCACTTGGCAACATTGAAATGCAGTTACGTTCTTTCGTGACCGTAACGAAAAAATGTTTGTTTGTTGATTCTTTTGTGCGTTGAGTAGCAATGATTAATGGACTGTTTTTTGTTTGTTGTGTTTCAGACGAAGAAAAACAATCCAAACCACATCAAGCGGCCGATGAATGCTTTCATGGTATGGTCACAGATCGAGAGGCGTAAAATCTGCGAGCAGCAGCCGGACATGCACAACGCGGAGATTTCCAAGCGGCTCGGCAGGCGGTGGAAAATGCTATCAGAAGACGAACGACAGCCGTTCATCGAGGAAGCCGAGCGGCTGAGACTCATGCACCTGCAAGAATACCCGGACTACAAATACAGACCCAGGAAGAAAGCGGTCAAGCCCATCTCGAAAGCCACGCTTTCGCGGCCGAAGAAAATGTGCAAGAAGTCGTCACCCTCCTCCCTCTCTTCATCCTCCTCCTCCTCCTCCTCTTCGTCCCTGTCGTCATCTTCCTCTAGCTCCTCGCTGTCTTTCTCCGGCGCCAGCGCAACGAAAAGACACGATTCCAACAACAATAGTGCAGGTTGCGTTTTGAAAGACGTAGGCAGCGGTCTGCTCATTCGTAGGAACGGTATCATCCAGACATCGACTCTAAGCCCTGTGAATCATAGCAAACTGAAAGTCAGGCTGACGATAGACAGGAAGCTGAAGGAGAACGTTCAAATCCATCATGCTAAGGTGCCATCCAGCCCTTCGTGCGACACCCCCGACTCGCCAGAGAGCGCCACGTTCTACGACGACAACTCTCTGCTGAGCGAGCCGACCCCTACCCCACCGCGTCGAATCAAAGTGCTCACCCCGACGCAAAGAATAGCGCCCGTCAAATCGGAGCAGAGTACTCTTTGTTTTAGCCCACTAGTCCCTAGTTACGCGAGTTCCATCGTCAAATCGGAGCCGAACGAGGATAACGAATTAGTCATCAAGCAAGAACCCCTAGAACCTATGGAATGCGAGTCCGAGACGGCGGCCATAGGGAAAGCGGGCGAAAACCCTAGTCTAGCCGACTTAGACTCTCTCACAGATCTCTTACAAATACCGTCTGACTTTAGGATAGATTTAGATTCTCTAACGACAGATCTTGACTCTTTCGACACCGCTAGTTCAAGCTCTGGATCCCACTTCGAATTCACGTGCGCACCCGATATGAACGACATGCTGTCCGCCATCGGTGTGAACAACGATTGGGTCGACACTAATCTCGCCTACATCATCGATTGCTGAATCGTCTATCTCCTCCGTCTTCTCGGTCTTCTCACCAGTGCTAGTGTTATTTTTTCAATTCTTTCAATCTCTCTCATTTCCTCCTCTCGAAATTCACAGCGGTTTTTTGTTTTGTTGAAAGTGAATTTTCTCAAATTTTATCCATCCCCAAGTGCGTACGATGAACATTTATAAATAATTTTATGGACCTATTTTTATAAATTTTTCTACCATTTCTTTTCAAATTTATAATCATAATAATTATTATAATTATAAGAAAATATTATTATGGTTATGATAAATATTATTATTATCGCTACTACTATTTTTTTATCATTATTGCTAGGTTCTACTTCATTGCGTCTCTCGATCTATGTGAAAAGCTCACTTAAACAGTGCACTCCTGCAGGAAAAAGGCGGTTAATTCAAATGTTTCCTCATGATTTCCTCTTTCATTTCTACATTTGGCGAGAGCTACCCTAAAGTCACTCAACATGAATCAACGGTGTACAATTAGCCCTTTGCGAACTGAGCGCAGGTATTTTTTGACCCATCCCATTGCTCTCTCAATTTAAATTAAACTCGCCCTTCCCCCCTCCCCCTCTCCTCCCCTGCGTTTATCGATTAGGCTCAAGCATGGCATTTTGCATCTGTTAGCAAGATGTTGATCTCACGGATTAGTGTACCAGCTAAAAAGCCCAACTTAAAACGGTTTATATTTGATTATCACGCATGTGGTACTCTTATAATAGCTACACAAGAAACATCCCTAGGATTTGCTCCGCGAAGTATATCTATACTATTTTATTACAGTCATATATTGATGTGAATTGTAGTTTTTCTCTCGTAAGTCTTTCTTAATTTCGTAGGCTTCTCTCACTATGTTCGCAGCTTTACATTCAGCTGTAACATGAGAAATAGTTGCTAAAAAGAATGAATGAATTAAATAAGCAGTATCAACAATTACGGAGACAGTGATTTTATATTGAAACCCGTCTAGATTTGTGAAGACTGTAGAATACACCTGAGTTTTGCTCTCCCAAATTTTGAATTGTTGGTTCCCTGATTCAACAAACCCTCTGTTACGACGAGAGCAATTGCTCGCTGTATCTCAAAATTTCCAAAATTAGAAGGCTCAAAAATCAGGGCCGTAAATTTATCCAGTGCGTTGTAACGACTTCCTTATTTAATCATTCATTTATTCGATTTTTTTCTCTTTTTTTAATTTCCGAATCTCATCCTTTTGTGTGAATTTAACCGAGATTTTGTTTTCTATACGCTTATATCGATTAATGTAACGATTGTAAATTTGTATCTATTTATTTTTGTGCTAAATGAAAATATGCTTACATCGCCATAGATTGTGCGTATTTTTACGATACTTGTTCATGTTGATATTTGTTTGTGTATGTGTATACGTATTGACATACTTGCACTTACAATACTTTGTAGTTACGTCTGCGTATACGCGTGTGCGTGTGCAGCAGTATTTTACTTTCTGTCACTTTCTGTTACAAAAAATCCTTGCAAAAAGATCCCCATTCTTTCTCCATTTTTTCATGCCGTAAATGGCCATTGAACAAGGAAAGAGCAAGACGTCCCCTAAACATGTCTTACTCTTGACGTATCCACCCTGCTGGAAGTCAGCTGTACTTTTACTTACGCCCTTTTGAGAAACGAATTGAAAGAAACCCGGTCAAGTGTTGTCACGTACTATCGCCAGCTGAAAGAGCAGACCACTTTCCTCATTAAAGAAGAAAGTAGCCTTAAGTACCTTTGTTTAAATTCAGTGCTTTTCGTTGGTCTCATGCTCTTATTTGAACCATGTTGTTCAATTTAAACCTCCATACCCTCTCCTGATGAAGTAGATTCCGAGAATTTAGAAATTGGAGAATTTAGCATCCCTAAGTGGCAGCTTTTTTTGCAATTTATCACCCACCCTTTTTGTGTCCATCTTTTCTCTCTATTTTTAATGCAGTAGTTGTGGCAAGATGGTCCGATTTTTCTTAACCAAACTGTCAATCAGTGAATTGGACGTAGCGACCAGTGATTCCATAGCGTTGAATGTGTTATAGTTAGTAGAGAAGGGAAACTATGTTGAACGCCTTTGAACCTTATTTTGGTAGAAGTGTCTGTAAGAAAGATATATATCACTCTCCACAAAGCCTCTTTGAAAATTGCCTTTGTTCTCTCCTCGTAGTCATGTAAAGGTTTTGTTTGAAGAACGTGCCAATTTATCAGCCAGTAAACTTTAAGATAAACTCACTATTTTACGTATAGAGTGAGTAAGCTTCTTTCATTTTCCGACGACTACTTATTAATTTTAAATTGTTGGCAATTGTTGAGATGTACACGTTAATAATTTTTATCTTCTTCTACCGTTTTTTGCAAGTTTGTAGTTTGTACATTCTGTACTTTTTCGTTCGTTGGCATTATTGAACCATGGACTCTTCGAACATTGTTTAACTTTCATTCTATCGATCGTTTTCAGTTTGTTCTCCCTTCCATGTCGAATTCTGTTTGATGTTTATTTTGTTTTTGAAGAAAAGCAAGTTGTTTATTTATTGTCATGAAATACATAGTTTAGAGATTGTTGAACATTGACTGTATTGTTTTGCTTGTATAAATTATTGTTGAACACAGACTGTTTTCTTTAAAAAAAATGAGCGAATAGTATGGAATCAACTAAACCCGAAGAGTAGAAAAGTTCATAGCTTTAAAGCGACCGCCTTGCTTTGAAACTTTACTAGTGTGCCCGTCAATGTACAATCTTAAGTTCTCATTGAAGCGTACTGGAAAGCTAACAGCAGTGTTTGACGTGAAGTGCAATTAAAGATGAAAGTTGTACACCTAGCTGTGTAACACAGAAGAGGAGAAATAACTTTATAAGTGCAATTTCTGTCGTTTGAATAATTTTTTTATTTTTTATTTTTCTCCTCTCCTCTGTTAGCCTCTCGTTCTCTCTGTGAAATTCGAAGCTAATCTTTTCCATCATCAGATTAGCTTTTCCGAACTTAAAGTTGACGATCGTAACCACCCATACTTACCTTGTATCAAAAGCAAATGTTCTATTAATATGCCTAGTTTTCCTAGTGTTCGAATGATCATTCTCCCTACAGTTTTTTTATCTGACTTTTGTATTCCTCTCTTTTTCCTCTTTTTTTAATCGATCAAAACCAAACTAGATCTGAAAAGCAATTTTTTCATTTTTCAATTTTCTGTTGTATCGCTTTTCTCGAGCCGATCGCAATGTACCTCCTCCCTTTCCCCATCCGCCATTTTCTGATCAGGTGACTAAAAATTTATGATGTAGGTAGGCATCAATCCTTTTAAACTTATGCGCTCCATAGTTAAAACCCATCTCTACGGTTTGTTCATTTTCCCCCTAACAATAATGCACTACTGCTGGCCACAATTCTCTTTTCCTCTGAATTTTCTTGTTCAGACTCCGATGTACAAGCTTTTGTGCGTCCCCTTGATCCTTTTGGAGCAGAAACATGTGGTCAGAAATACGCGTGCACGCGCACACCCAAACATTTTTAAACATGCATATTTGCTCTGTTCATTGAGGTACCTCTCTCTTTTCTTTCAACGAGAGATTACTCATGAATGTACCAAATTACAAGAAAAAGTAAAGGATTAAAACTTAATCAGGCTGTGATACTTTTTGAACCCTTATGTTATTTTTCATTTATTATTTTGATATTTGGAAGCATTTTAAGTACTAATTACCTGCATTATACATATTTAGCCCGTAAGTAACCTCATAAATTTGTATTAATTGAAGTGTATGGTCTGGAGGGAAGTGCTACTAAGACTTACTTATATTCTCTCAGATCCATATTCGTGAAAGCATTCGCTGATTTTTCCGCACTATCCTCTCTGAAGTTTTTTTCCTACAATCAACTGGACTCAATGGGAACAGGGGGTGGGGAAAATAAAGTAGTTTTTCATCAATAATCTCTGGAATAACTCAGACAATTTTGGTGTTTAATTTACCAGTATAATGCAATCGACAATGAACAACAGGTTCGTTGCTTGAAGCTTACCAAGCAGTGACATTCGCTACATGTAGCTCCCATCTTGATGAAGGAAAGAGTGTATCGCTCAAAAAGAATGATTCCTATTCATTCGTTTTGTCACGCCATTTTAACCGAGCAGTTGTAGAGATGTAGAAAGAGAGAGAAAGAGAGAGAGATTGCGAGTTCTTATCAGTTAAATAATTTTTTGACCCTCAGAACATCAATGGTCTCAAATCATAAACATTATATTAGTATTTTCTTTTTCTCCATTTTTAATGTAGTAATTATGCTTTACGTGTAGTGTCCGAATGGTGGTTGTATTAAATTTACACCTATGCCAGAATTTCATTTTCTTTCCTCATTTTTTACTTACTGAGAATATATTTTTCGTTCTTTAACCCGTGTATAGGACAGTAGAAATTCATCAAGTCTTTATCAGTGCTTCCTTTCGACTGTATCATTTTATTTTTTTAATTGGTTGTTTTTCCTCAGCCATTTTTTGTAAGTTTCTTTCTTCGTTCGAAATCGTATCTCCTGACTCAGCTATAATACAGTGTCATACCGAATTCATGCTGCATTTGTATGCCTTAGTGATACCCGTATCCTTCTTATAAGTGGATTTCATTTCATGAATGTCTTGGAATTTCTATGCAGAAATGTGTGTGTTTACTTAAATATCTTGTAATTCTGTACTGATCTCCGAAACTCTCTCTGTATAGACATTTTTGTTTCGACGAAGTCAGGTCTTTTCTAATTGCATCTTTGGAATGTGTCGAATTTCTATCTTCATCTATTTACATACAATTTCAAAACTAAAAATCTCAGTTCGCTCGCCTCCTAGAAAGATCTTTCCAGTATTTTCCTCGTTTCTGTAAAAAATGGAACTTAATTTTCTCACCCTAATTTTGAAACTGTCTTCGGGTTAATTTTTTACCTTAACTACTGTACAAACCGTTACCCGCGCGGTCAAGGGCGAATCTAGCAGCAAGAAAAGTCCTCCATTCAATTTAAATTGAAAATACTCCCATTAATGTCTGCCGTTTCGTGAGCGCACTGGTCGTCTCATATGTGACTTTTCTTTAGGTCTTGACTTTCAACTTCAAAGGAAAGAACTTTTCAGAGTCTATAAATTCGTTTACTTACCTAATCTTCAATCTTGTCATAATATTAAGATATTTGTATAATGTAGTCATTAAACATTTTATTAATGTAACTTTATGTTGATCTAAATTTAGTGTAGATATTATTTTTACCATATTTGAATTAAATAATATTATTTTTCCATGTTGAAATCGCTCTTTTACCTTTATTTTTCCCCAATTCTTTTCACTCTAGAACCTCAGCCGAATAATTTGAGAATTCAAATACCTAGAAAGATATTAATATTTTTTACAATCAGATGTAGCCGTCAGTACTTTATGATGCCGTTTATTGAGGACTAACAAGAGAAAGTTCATAGTACAAACGCAATTTTGAATTAAATGATTTCATTAGTCTCAAACGTATTGTTTTTGTTTGATGAGCTCACCATCCTCACCAGTTGATCAAAAAAAAAGTCGAGTGATTTAGTCATGATGATTCAGTGAAGAATATGAGTTTATTAAAAGCACTTCTCTCTCTTCCCCTTTTTCACCAGATAAAATGCACTAGCAACTGCAAATGGGTCAGTTGCGATGGTGACAGAATCGTGTTTTAATCGCGGTAGTTCATGCCATGTTATGCACTACCGCGGTGGATGACGTCAAAAACCCGACTTTTCAAAAAGCGATATCTCGGTTAATATCGAACCTAGAGAGTTGCTGTTTGGGCAGGTCTTCTTACTTTTAGCTAATCTATAAAAATCAAGCATCATATTACGATTCTGTTACCAGCGCAACTGGCCCATTCTTTCGCAGAAAGGTTCACCACATAAACTGTAGGCGAATTTTTCTGGGCATTTGGCAATATTTGCAGTTCTCTTCAATAATGAAAATAATGAAGGCCAGACTCAGAATAAAATAGAAGAAAAAAATGCTCACTGTGGCCATGTATTTTCTAATACCTACCGAGGACAAAACTGACCTTGGTAATTGTTGACACTCGAGAATAGGGACAGGCTCACTTAATGAAACTGCTCTTTTAATCAACGTAATTCGTTGCGCATGTTGAGTGCATTTCTGTGAAAGTGTTAATTTATGGGTCGTATGCAACAGAAAAAATGAAAGGTCAGAAAAACACTTTCTTCCAAGAAATCCTTCGTAGCATTTTTTGAAGCGAAAGTTTAATTTGAATTTATCTAATTTCACTGCGACAGTTCGTTGGTGAAAGAATAAAATAAAGTTCTGAAATTCAATTGTTGCAAGAATTTTGTAATGCCTTGTTCAATTTGTTGAAAGAGTGCATACAACTCTAGAATTGAAACTATTATTCAAGTCCTGGTTTAAAAAAATTAAATTATACAAAACGTATGGTGCCAAGGTAAACTATTTTATCTGTTAAGTACTGACAAATTTTCGAGAATATTTAATTCTATCTTCTCAACTCTCAGTCTCAACGTTGAGGCTTTTGTAAATAACATGAAAATTAACAGTTCCAAGCATCTGTGTATTCGCTCTCACCATTCTCACGATTCATTCTCTTATACTCTATTAAAAAAAATGAAATAAATGAATTAATCTATTAAACCGTATCGTATCTATACTGAAAAATTACAAATTTATTCCAAAGGTGATCCATGCATCATTGACTCGAAAACACACTCTGCATAGTACATTGCTCAAACACTAAAGAAAGAGGTCTGGACATTCTCGTAATGATACGTAGTTAGCAGACTGCAACTCGATATAGTCTTTCGCATTATGATGACTTCAAAAACATGAGTTATGCGATCATTTTGCGCACCTGCGATGGGTTCCGTACGGACGATTTTCGTGGTGGCATCACCACAGGGATTCTTCATCTTATCAAACAATAATGAGGAAATGATTAATAATTTTAATTCATCGCCACGAATGAAAGTTCAGTTTTTGCTATTTCACAAAGTACATGTTTAAATTTTCAAACTTACATGGAACCTGGTGGCGGAGCGCAGTTCAAACTCACTTTTTGATGCTTAAAAATTGGATCTGAGGTGTAAATTTGTCACAGAATATGTTTGAAGACCAGTTTTAGTTGAAATCATTTACGTCTCAATTTTTGTAAAAACTGCACTTACGCGCTTCGTTCTCCAAATCATTCGATGAAAGGACGGATTTAACTTGAGGCAGCCCAATGCGTATACATATATAGGTATTTGAAAGAAATAACTTAAGGAGTGAGGGCAGAGAGTTTCATAAGTTTTATTTTACACAAGTCGGTTTTAAAGAGATAGCAATCAAGAAATAAACAAAACATACAGAGAAATTAGGTATTTTCAAATGTAATTAAGGTAATTTTGGTAAATAAAGGTCGATCATGCATCCCAGCGCTCAGTGGGGGATAACAAAATAATTTCTCTCTGCGCACCGAGGCTCATAGCTTTAGCAATAATCGACTCAATATCATCATATTCCATGTTGCACCAAGGAGGAAAATCTTGCTATGTTTCGCTCAAATCAAAATGAAATTTTTTTTTAAAGTAGAGCAGTTTACTCGTTTTCAGTGGCTCTGAAAAATATCTGAATCTGAACCTTATAATTTGTATTTAAAATGTTAGGTTCCCAGATTAACACATTTGGCTCTTACTTTTGTTTTTGTTCTAAAACAATAAACTTATGTGAAAAAATGGCTCCCTAATGAGGCTACATACTAAGCTCCGTCTACCTCTAAACTAGGACAAATACGACCAACGCAACACTCATTTCATGAGTATGTTGTTCTGTTCGAATCAAAAAGACCCAGGGGCCAATTGCCCACTGGATTTTGTCAAGACGAACGCCACGGGGACTCCTGCTAGTAAAATTTGAGTGCCTTTTTGAGAGGTCTTGCAAAGCCCCCGAGGACCTCTCAGGAACTTTATGAAGGGTGTTTCAATAGGGATCCATTTTGAACTTTTGAGTGACCTCGTCTGTACTTCCTGTAGATGTTCGACTCTACGGAGCAATCGGCAGACCCTCACCCCATCTCACAGTTTTTGAAAGATCGCGTAGCTGCCTAATCAGCGCATAAATCGAATTCAGGAACTGTTTTTTTCTACGAAAATCTAAATCCTAGACTTATGTGGTCACTTTGAACCAGTGACGATTCTTGAAAGTTGGCAATGCTGTTTTTCCTCAATTTACACGTATGTTGAACAATCGATTCTCTGTGAGGCAGCTTGCCTCGCCCAAAATCGATATTTTTACTGGGTTTAAATAGAGGAGAAACAGTGTTGCCAACTTGCAAAATCGCCATTGCTTCGAACTGGCACTATGGGCCCTCAGTGAAAAATGAAGGAGAAGCAACTCAAATAAAATGGTCAGTTTTAAAAAGAATTGAAGGTATTTTAAAATAAAAAGGCCCAAAAATGTAGGAATACTAGGGGGTACGTCCCCTGAACGCTTCGCAGTCCTACCTCCTGTAGCGTCTCTTGCCTCACGCGTTATGCGTTATGCGTTATGCGTTATGCGTTATGCGTTATGCGTTATGCGTTATGCGTTATGCGTTATGCGTTATGCGTTATGCGTTACTCTCACGACTTTACATTATATAGTATGATATGGGCGTATTTCTATCAGACGGTATGTGCATTATGACGTGAGCCCTGTTATGCACATACGCTTATGGGTCTCAAGGTTCATGTCTTAATGCACATAGTTCCGTTTGGTAGAAATACGTCCATATATGGTAAATTAAAATGAAAAGTACACCATTAGAACAGCTTTCAAATTCATGAGATACATGCTACATTTTTAAATATATTCCGTAGACGGGGGCCCTATAAGATCTCCTTCCTTTAGGTAAAAACTCCCGCAGCCGTCAAGCCTCGTGCCACGTTACAGAGCCCATTAAAATTCCCTCTTTTGACCACAGCCCCGCTTCGCAAAAACTCTTGAATGAGAATAAACACTCTCTGCTCAGCCCTTTTACACCCGGGCATTTGAGCAATGCTCTGAGTATAATTTCTATTGAAATACGTGAAACTTTTTTGAGATACGAACGCAGTCGAAATTAATTTTCAATTTTTTCGTGTGGGCACCTCCCCCCCCCCCCCATCAACCTCATCAGGGTCCTTGGGCTTCCCCCTCTGAATACCTTTTCAAAGGATTGGTTCCCCCAAAATTTTGAGTCGGTCTGCTCAAATCCATCGGGTAGGAATATATTTCCATTCATCCAACAAATGCCAACTCTAATTCGACGTACGAGTACTTATTCGACAAGGCTATGGTCCTCTAGAAGGGCAGATGTTCGCGGCGAAGGATTCGGACCCTCTCGCTCGTGAAAAGGTCGGTAGCGAATCAAACAACCAATTAAAATGTTTGTTTATGTTGGACCCCAAGGCATGTGTAAGTGTAAACGCACAGATGGCAGTGCTCTCCCCATATTTTCATGCATGCATTCGTAAAAATATTCTATATCCTCATCGGGACAGGATCAGAGCCCGATTTTTATCGATACCCAGCTCAGGTCGGTGCTTTTTTTTCTGGAATAACTTTGCCTTCATGGATCGACCAATAGACTGTGGGTATAACTAACTAATTAAAAACCATAGTTGCGTGATTCATCTTCCCGCTACTGACGCACTAATTTTCCAAAATTCAAATTTTTATGCGTGATATCGGATCACAGTGAGTCGCAATTGCGAATCTGGCGAGTTAGCCACTCTGATTTTCTTGCATTCAAATCCATTACAGGTACAGATCTTGATTCTAGGTAGGCCTCAATTTGGATTCGATTGTATTGCATATACATTTGAATGGAGGAAAAACACTGTCACTGACTTTCGGTGGTGGACAGTCACGATTCCTCGGAAAACACATCCGCGGTGCTGACATCTCAACAAAATCAACGATAAAGTGGAACACTGAAAAAAAAAGTCCGACTGAGGAAGTAGCCAGAGCAATGGGAGCTTAACCTGCGGGAGCTTCAGCCTCTAAGCCCGGAACGGAGGGTATGTCTAGCCTGTAAGCACGATTATCACAGCCGGAGTTTTTTTTCTCAGTGCACTGTCGGTTATATTCATATTGCAGCAATTATTGTGAACAGCTAAATTGCGTACAACAATTAGGTGCACACTAAAAGTTCGGTTGATAAGGAAAGTGAAAACCAAGTACACTGAAAAAAAAAAATTTCGGTAAATCCGAACTAGTTAGGATCATATAGAACGACGATTTTGTTCGGTAACCACGACGGAATT